GAGGATGAGGATGAGGATGATGATGATGATGATGATGATGATGATGATGAGGATGAGGATGAGGATGATGATGATGATGATGATGATGATGATGATGATGATGATGATGATGATGATGATGATGATGATGATGATGATGATGATGATGATGATGATGATGATGATGATGGTGATGATGATGGTTATTTCTGTTGAAGTTTAGTGCCAGACGAGGGTGGGGAGTGGCCGAACGCTTGCAATGTTTCCACAGCCTTTGGCCCTCGAGCTGGAGCCGCGGCGGGGCCGCGGTGCATGGCCTGGCTCGGCCTCCCAGGGAATCTGCTGAACCTGGTGGACCGCTGGGGCGTGCCCGCCTGCAGGCCTGGTTCTCTCGCTGCCCCGCCACCCACGTCCCGTCCTGCCCCGCGTGTCCAGCCTGCCCGCCGTGCCCAGGGGCGACGGTGGGGGCGACCGCGGGGCCCGCTTCGGTGGCCTGCGCGGGCGCGGCGCTGGCGGGAGCCTCCATCGGGGCGCCGGCCGTCCCTGTCCTGCTGCACGTGTCCGGCCCGCTCCGCCTCGCCTCCGGCGCGAAGCCCCCGCTTCCCGTCTCTCCTATCGTGGCGGCTTCCGCTCCGACCAGCCGTGCTGATGCCGACCAGGGATGATAGCAATAATACTATCATAGAAATACGAAGCACAATGCTAAGATGAGTAATACCAACAAGAACAGCAAACGTAACAATAAGAAGACGAACGCTAATAATAGGAGTAATCTTGATGACAACAGTAATGCCACTATTAATATAAACCACACTACTAGCATTCATAATGCGACTACTAATCACAAGAAGAGTAATAATACGAGCAAGAAGAACAATATGAATGATAACAATAATATTAAGACTGCGAAGCAGAAACAGACACATAAGAAGAAGAGGAGAAAGAGGAGGAGGATGAGGATGAGAGATGGTGATGGAGATGGGGGAGGGGGTCGTTACGCTCCTGACTTTTTTTCGGGTCTCGCAAGCCTGCGAAGGTCCTCCAGGGACTTCCCGGGACCTCTTGCAAGCCCCCGGGGGCATCCGCGCAGGCTGCCCGAGCCGCTGGGATGTGTGTTTCCACGTGGCGTGCTGCGCCAGCAGCGTTCTTGGCTTTTCGCGTGAGGCCGCTATGCCCTCTCGCGTCTTGTGCAATAACCCTCTCTTTCCGCCGCCCTCTCGTGCATCGGCGGTGCGGCGCAATCCTTCGACCCCATCTTCTCTTGCTCCATCCAGGAGGCCCACAGGATGAGCTGATGGGTCGTTTGTATACGCACACATCCATAGTTACACGTGTTTACACATCTATGTGCATAAGCGTATACGAGTGTTTTTTACGCCAATGTAGAGGTACATGTAGATATCATGGAGGAACATGGGGGAAGAGCCCGCACCACACATATTTATGTAATTGTGAATAGATGTCTTATATATATGTATATGTATATGCCTGTCTGTCTGCCTGCCTGCCTGTCTTTATGTATCTATGTAGGTAGGTAGGTTGGTTGGTAGGTCTGCCTGTGTGTATACACGTGTGCGTGTACGCATGTATGTATTCATGTATGCATGCATGCGTGCATGTATATCCTATGCGTGCATGTCTTTCCTCATCCCGTCACGGGTCCAGGCCGTCGATGTTAGATCGCTTCCGTGGGTTTTTGGGCTCAAGAATTCGTACCAAGGCAGTGCGAATGGATTACCTGCTCCCTGCCGCCCAGTACGCTTGGCAGGGAGCGCTCGCATATCTGTGGGGCGGCAACCTGCAGAGGTGCCCGTCCGTCCACGTCCCCGCCTGTCCTGCCATACCGAGCTGCGTGTGTCCGCCGTGCCCTGGCTGCCCGGCGTGCCCAGGGGGCTCCCCCGCTCCCGCCACGCCCTCGGCGAACGGCGGGGGCAGCGGTGAGCCGAGGCAGCCCTCCTCCTTCTGGTCCGTGGTGCTGGTGAACGAGTTGCTCCTGCTGGGCCTGGCGCTGACATACGGCATCCTGTCGTGGAACCGTGTCGGGTTGACGTGCTGCCGACGCAATGCTGGCCGTGCAGAACGTGGGGCCAACGGAAGCAGCGCCCCATGGGATGCTCCAGTGGGCGTGGGTACGCTACGAAGGAGAGCCATTGTGGCACCAGCGTCTGATCTTAGGGCGGCGGGTCCGGACACCACACGAGAGAGTCACTGAGTTGATGGTGCTCACCTGCACGGTGGACACCGACATCTATGAGGAGGACGATTCATGCCAGGGAAGAGACATCATTGCTGTGAGGTTCACATCAGATCGTGCAACCTTCCCGCCTGGTGTTGGTGCCGCCAACTCGTACAGGTTCAGGCGGAACCTCACGGTGGTGGAGATGCAGCAGATTGACCAGACCGCGCTGGGCTACTGCACCGTCGCCCTGGTCGCCGACCACCAGCGCCTGCGGCTGCCTGCGCCCTGCGGGCCGTTCCTCGTGCCGCTGCCTTTCGGCCCTGCAGGGGGCGGTGGCCCTGGCGCGGGCGCCGCGCCGGCCGCCGCAGTCGCCGCGCCCCCAGTGGCCGCCTCTCTGGCCGCCCCAG